GGGGAGAGAATCAGGGGTTCGTCAAAAAAATGAAATTGAAGAAACCCACATTTTTTTCAGAGGCACGCGGCAATTTGCGACGATCTTTATTTGTTTTGAGCCCAATGCACCAGTTATTTCCATATCAAAAATACGTTTCTGATTTGAAATGTTTGAAAATTGCAGACCAAAGGGACAAAAAATATAAGAGTGCAGTTTCCATGGATACCAAAGCGGTGGAACTTTGACGGCCATTTTGTAGCTAATTTTACCCATGACACCAGGCATTCCCCACCTCCTTCAATAGCTAGTATCTTGACTTTTCTACAAGATGCATGGATGATTGTTTCACCAAATGCAGTAGAAATAAACAGGTGGATTTTACAACAACAACAACAACAACAAAACATCATATGCCCAAAAATTGACGCCTGATTCCACCGTGTGGTGACTCAATGCTACTTCAGCATTACAAAAGTTCTATCTGCTCAGTACCTAGTTGAGAAATTTGACGTAATGTGAGGCAGCGTGGTGCAATCAGGCTATCGTCAAAATAGTCAAAGTGAAGAAACTTGCATTTTCCCGCAAGTTTGTAAATTTTTATCAAATTTTTGTTTTTTGGCTCAACACCTTTCACCCCCATTAAAGAACTCATTTCTGTGTGGATTCCTCTGAAAAGCGTTGATCAAAGGCACAAAAATGTAAATTTTCAGTTACCACGGACTCTTAGGCTAAGGAAATAACTAATCTTTGGCGGCCATTTTCTCACTATTTTTACCTCTGAAAACAGGTGACCCCCATCTCCTTCTTTCACAAATATCTCGACTTGTATTCAAGACAAAACGATATTTTTTCCATCCAAATAAAGACAAAGTGAATAAGTTTTAAGATGATATCAATAACGCAATATGCCCCAAAATTGACGAGAGCCTGGTTCCACCACGCTGCCTCACATATGTTGAGTTTCATAACATGTCAAGCTTTACCGAATGCCCTTCTCTGGATATCTCCATAAGAACCTTGAATAATCTCACGAGTTTGATCAAGGAGATTTCTTACCTCGTGTTCTTAGTGACTCAAAACGGCCAAAAATGTCAGATAGAACTTTGTAATTCTAAGGCAGCGACATGATAATATAATGATTGAGTGAGTGGACGGTCAGTGTGTGGGCAGTTGGCTGGTGGCTACTTACCAGGCAGGACTAGGGTGCTGGTGTTGGCAAAGAACCGGTCGTTCTGAATCCCGCGGCTGTTGCTCATGAACCCGAGCTGTATGGCGCAGGATTGTCGAATTTGGTCAGGGGTGGTAGGGCAGTAGGTGGTCACTATCTGTGGATGTACGTGATGGGACAGGGAGTAGGGAGTAGTGAGTAGTGAGTGTGTGTGTGTGTGTGT